TAAATGTTCCTCATTTCGACCAGATACAATAGAGGAAAGGCAGCTAGTCAACAGTAGCCACTGCTGACTCTTGGACTACACTTGTCTGGCCCTGTGTTTTGTTTTTGATATCAGTATAAAGCTACACACTAAATGTTCCTCATTTCGACCAGATACAATAGAGGAAAGGCAGCTAGTCAACAGTAGCCACTGCTGACTCTTGGACTACACTTGTCTCACAGAATACAGTAAAATGGGATTTGGATGTCACCCTTTTAATGCACCATGGCCTCAAAGTACAGAACATGCCTTTTTTTTTAGTGATAGCAGGATGTTAACGATGTACCCACAGAATTACAATCTAGATGCTAGCCACTGGACCACACTTGGATCAGACTCCATAAACTTTTCATCTAGAATTTAGAACCTTCTTAACTAAAGCCAGCAGTTTAATAGTTTCACAGATATTTTGAACTTGACAGATATTATTAGAAAAAAATTTTCATTGTTTAGCTATTCATACCATCAATTTGCTAGTTTGATGAGATCTGCCATTTGTTGGATCATCTGGTTATGGTTTAGGTTTTGTTATCTATAGCAAAGTGTTAATGTTGTAGTGTGACCCATTGCAAGGTAAGTAATTCCACAAGTGCTAAATCAAAGTGGACTACCTTAAACTATGATTTGCAAGAGTACAAGTATCTGTGTTTACATATACATATAAAGACCACACCATAAACCTCACCATTTCTATTTCCTCAGAAGAGATAAAACTAGAGAAGTTCATTCCTGACCATCGTGGAAATGGAGAGAGGAATGAAACAAAAAAGAATGACGCCAAGCAGAGCACTGGTGTAGCAGGTAAAATGAGTATGTTCGAAAAGTTTTATGTTGCAATAATCTTTGTGTAAAGATAGTATTGAGCTCTTATATAAACCATATTAATCTTTTGTAGGCTAAATTAAGAAAACAAAACAAGGTAGTTTCATTTCTTAAATAAAAAACTTGTTTTTATGTAGTTTATTAAAGTCATTGTGTAGCTCTTTTTATTTAGTTTTCTTAAGAGAATTAAAGAATGTACTAACTGTTAACAAAGATCTAAGTATTTATCCTACATAGTTACTAGAGGCAAGATGCTTAGGACAGAGACACAGATTCAGGGACATACTCATCCCTAAAATGTTTACACCTAGAGTGAGAAATTGAGTCTATTTACATGCAGAATTTGATAAAAACCATGGATAAAACATCAGTTTAATGATCAACTTCCAGAAGCTTTTATCTTTTTACCTCAGTATTTTTATATTTTCGAACCTTCATTTTAGTATCTTTGTTTCATTATTAGGAAATATTATTGGACCAGAAACTCATTTCAAGTTGGGAAAATTAAAATGTATGGGGAGAGTAAAGTAGGTTAATTCTACATCTTTACTGAGGATGGGGAGTAGGTTAATTCTGCATCTGTACTGAGGATGGGGAGTAGGTTAATTCTACATCTGTACTGAGGACGGGGAGTAGGTTAATTCTACATCTGTACTGAGGACTGGGGAGTAGGTTAATTCTACATCTGTACTGAGGACGGGGAGTAGGTTAATTCTACATCTTTACTGAGGACGGGGAGTAGGTTAATTCTGCATCTGTACTGAGGATGGGGGAGCCACCTTATTTCGACCCACATGCTCTATATGTAGTCTGTTAAATAAATGATAAACCTGTAAAAATCGTTAAAAAATCAGTTACTAAATATGACCCAGGTGTCACTTATCAGCAATTTGTTTTTAATTTTATACATGAAACAGAAGATTCCTTTGTTCACCTTTTTTTTTTGTAGTTAAACTAGTGCCACCTAGTAAGCCTGACGTTACCCAGTTGTCAGAAAAGTCTGTGTTGGTCCGATGGAAGGTTCCTAAAAATAGTGGGCTATCGATATTGTTCTTCAAAGTTCAGTATAAACCAGCAGGAAATCCCTGGATCACAGTGGACAATGAGATAGGTCCTAATGTCTGGTCTTACACCGTGTCAAAGTTAAAAACAGGTTAGTGCTTAGCTATGTTGTGTTTAAGTAATGTCTACTTTAGATCTGAAAATTTATTAACTTGAAAACAGTATCTAAGAATTATGTGGTGTACAAAATATCGTGTAAGGAATGCAGCGGGTTTTGCCTAGAAGAAACTGAATGAGATAGGCTCTCTGTTGCCATGGTGAGTTACCTAAATGACCAACTAAGCCTAATTATTAATTAGTAACTATTTAAATAAAGGTAGATGATAATCATTTTTATCCAATGTTTCATGAGCTACTAATGTACTGAAGTCTTGAGAGAAGGATTCTTTCTGTGTTAGTAGTGTCCAGGATTTGATCCTGGGTTTTCTTGATGGAAGTCTGGTGTTTTATTCACCCCACTACATTTCAATTTGCCCCTCCCCCTAGTGGCACAGCAATAAGTCTACAAACTAATAAGTATACAAACCGTGTTTTGATACACGTGGTGGATATAGCCCATTTTGTAGCCTTATGCTTAACTACAAAGAAAAGCATTTCAACCTTTAAAAAGTATGTATATTTAGATTAAATAATTAAAATTTATCACTTGGTTTATGCTGAAGAAAATAGGGAACCGGTGAACAGTTTCAGTGATGACATGAATTCAAAAATGAAATACTTAAATATTAATTTTAAATTACTACCAAATTATTATTATTTTATTAATGTATAAATTACTACCAAATTATTGCTATTTTATTAATGTATAAATTACTACCATATTATTATTATTTTATTAATGTATAAATTACTACCAAATTATTACTATTTTATTAATGTATAAATTACTACCAAATTATTAGCTATTTTATTAATGTATAAATTACTACCATATTATTACTTATTTTATTAATGTATAAATTACTACCAAATTATTGCTATTTTATTAATGTATAAATTACTACCAAATTATTGCTATTTTATTAATGTATAAATTACT